CCCCCCCCCCCCCCACTCCCCAGTCAAGGCACTTCTTTCCACTTTCCAATCTAGTGAGTCAGTTTCTAATACCTGGAAGCAGCAAAAATGAGGGGTCCCCTTCCCCTCCCATTTTTGGTTTCCATCCAGACAGGTTCAAGTTTAAATGCTGATTCTAGGAATTCTATTTATACTCCCACTGATGATAAGTTTCCCATTGAAGGGACTGACGGACAGACAGGACCTTAACCCCAGCCTGTCCCAAAAGTGATTGTCAATTTTAGGGCTGGGCAAGGGATGAAAGGAAGAGGGTTGGGGACCCCTGTGCTTCCCTGTGGGGTCAAAGCTGGGTCATGGGTTTGAACACGGGGGCAGAGGCTGGACTTTCACATTCAGTGGCAGCACACGGCCGTAGGAAGAAGAGGGCGAGGCTGACTTCCGTGTGGGGGCCTGTACACCCAGGGGGTGAAAGCACAAGTGGAGTGAGTGTACTGTTCGGTGTGTGGGGCTGGGGGGGTCTGCTGAGGGGCAGCTGGCCTATGTGGCTCCCTTTCCTCTCCCTCTCCCTGGCCTACAGGTCTGTAAGGCCAGGCCCAGCTATAAGCCAGCGACTGAAAGGGGCTGTGACCTGGGAAAGGACCACTGCTGGGACCCCAGAAGGTGACACTGCAGCCCTCACTCTCAGCCTTCATATCGGCCTGCGGGGCCTCTGTGGCAGACCCAGCCTCCTCAGATCCCACCAGCCAGGCTCTCCGCCATCCTGGCTGTCACGGAGGCGTCGCCCATGTTCGCCCCCTCTTCCAAGGGCAGGCTGGTGGGCGAGGCCTCCTCTGGCGCACCTTCACCCAGGCTTTCTCAAGTTTCTGTCTCACAGTGTGCCCCTCAGAGCACTGACACCTCCCAGCCAGGGGCTCATGACAGCCACACCCACATAGGGTGTGTGATCACACCCAAAGCGGGAGAAAGTGCAGGACACAGAATTGGGGGACAGAGAGATTCAGCCCACGAGAAAAAGTCACAGACCCAGAGGGGTACAAGCCCAGAGGAACAGATACAGTTTGAGGGGATGGGGAGCGTGTGGGGACACTGAGGCACGGCAGTGGGACCTGGGAGACACAGGACAGAAGTGAGGAGCCTGAGGAGGCCTGAGGCAGAATGGGCACCGCCTGTGAGGCACAGGCCTGGCTGGCTGGACAGGCAAGAGGGCGCTCCCAGGCGCCTGCTGCTGTCTTGGGTCCCTCTCTGCTCCAGCCTGCAGAGAGCGGCAGCCTGTGGCTTCCATGGTCTCACCTTTGGTTTCCCGGGCTCTTGGCATCCCCAGGGGGCCAGTCAGTAAGGGGTGGTCCCCTCCCACTCCACCAGATACTGAACCTTGCCCTCGGGCGTGACTCTGCGAGCCAACACCTGGTACTTCTCTCCACACGCTAACCGCCCAGCCGCACCAAAGTAGTTGGTGATGGATGACTTGAGGTGGGACAAGGAAGAGTCATCTTCACTGATGCTCTCAAAGGTGTGGCTGTCGATGCCTTCGTCTGCCCGCTCTGGACCCGAAACCCCTTCTGCACTGCTGTCCGAGGGGCAGCGTCCACCTGGCTCGACTGCCCGCCGCTTCGCCCGCAGTGGCAGATACGCTTTGGCTGCCAGCTTCCTCTTCCGGCTGCCCACTGTCCGCCTGTGTCAGGAGGGGGAGGGGCACGTGACGGGCATGAGATGTGATCGTTACAACAGAAGAGCCTCTCCCTGAGCACACGCCAAGGCTCCAGACTAGGTCCTGGGCATGGGACAGCCCCTCGATGCCCCGGAGGAGGCTCCAGAGAAGCCAGAGCTGGGAGGGGCAGGGCCAGGGGGCAAGCCCAGAAGTGTCCAGCTCAGAAGCACCTGCTCTTGGTAGTTAGGGGCGCAGAGCTGCAGAGTACTGGGTGCTGTTCTCTGCCAGCACAGAGACCCTGCTTACTCTGCCTCAACCTTGACGGAGACTCATCTGTAGCTAGAAGAGTCGAACAGGAGGGGGTTACAGACGAGGCAGAGGCCGGGCATGGGCACATGCACAAGATGAGGTGGCACGGTCACAGAGCTTAGCAACAGAAACTGACCGGAAGAACCAGTGAGAACCAAAGAACAGGAAGAAATACCTGAACGTACAGGGTGATGGCAGACAAGGAGATAGAGGGGCTCGGAATAAAGACTCCCAGCCCCCTCCTGTAGGGTTATAGTTTTGATTCTACTTCTGTAAGGGCCAAAATGCCCTGAAATCATTCAGGGAGCCGCGGAGTTCAGAAGGCATGTATGATGCAGCACCACCCTCCCTGTGCTGCTGAGGGCCAGCGATGGTCAAATGGGCCGCCCCCAGCTGGGCCCCCCAGGATTTCTGCCCCTTCTCGCAGACCTTACACCCGGCAGGGTGCCAGGTCCCCTCTCTCAGGTGTACAGGCCCGGAGGAGACACGAGGTTGGGAGAGCAGCAGTCTGGGAGGCACTCAGCATGCAGCGTGAGCAGGCCAAGGAAATGAAGGAGAGAATGCAGGCCCTGATGTCACCCAGGGAAGTCACAGAACCTTCTCTAGTGGGTGAAGAGGCGTGACCAGAACACCCGTGCTCAGCCCATCCGAATCCCTGTGCCTCGGAACCGGAGGGTCCAAGACCTGACCCAGTGATCAGTCAGGTCCCCCAGTCCTAGACAGCATGAGCCACAAGGTGCCACGAGGGGCCCTGAGGTGGCACGGGGGGTGGGGACAGCTGGCGGCACCCGAGCCGTGGGCCGGGAGGTGTACCTGGAGCCGTAGGAGACGCTGGTGGAGGCGGAGCCGGACGTGCTGGCAGCGTCAGTGGAGTCCACATCTGAGAAGAAGGTCTGGCCTGAGCTGGCACTGGGAGGGATGAGAGGGCGAGCCTGCCATTGGCCTTGGCCCTCGTGCCCCGTGGGATCTCCCCGGTCACCTCTGGGTCCCCTCGCGTCCTCTGTGCAACAGAGGCCGCCTTCCCCTCACTGAGCCCCAGGCCACCTCCCTGCAGCTGCCCCCCCCCCCACTTCTTCAAGATCAAGGGGTCAGGAAAGCCAACCGCGACCACCCTGCCCTGGAGGTGACAAGAAGGAGCCGCCAGTGAAGGCGCCTGGCTGGCACGGTGCCGCGCTTCCCGGGCCACAGGCCGCAACTGAGTCTGGTTCTTAAAACAGAGGAGGCGGTTCAGAGGTCGAAGGCTTTCTCTGAAGTCACACGCCTAGTGAAGCAAGCAGAGGCTGGGTCCCTGCTCCCCTCCACACGGGGTCACTATGGGGGACCCACAGTGACGCTCAGGAAGCGAGCACATCCTGGCACACATCTCTCCAGGAGTGGGAACCTGGCGCCAGCACGGAGTTCAGCAGAGGGGCGTGGGGTGGGGGAGGGCAGGCGAGGGAGGGCTGTCAGTCAGGACTGCTGTGGGGCAGCCTCTGAGATAGACAGCAGGGCGCCATTGTGCCAGCCCTGAAGTGGGGGGGGGCAGCCGCTGCACTGTGACCCTAAGGGGTTCCCAGCCCTCACACAGCTTTCTGCTTGGCTCCTCCCAGCACCTGCCTTCACAGCCGACCTCACAGGTGGCCTCCACCTCAGAGCAGCCCTGTCCTGGGTCCCGTTGATACCTCTTTAAGCTCTGGATCTCATCCAGGGTGAAGTCGAATATGCTGGCCAGGTGATGGTTGGTGCTCCAGGCCGAGGTGAAGTCGCTCTGTGGACACGGGCGGGGCAGAGTGGTCAGTCATCTCTGGGCCCCCTCGCCACCTCCTTTGTCCCTGCTGCTGGTCCAACCAGAACTTCTGAGGGCTGGGCTTTCCGGAGGCCAGGGCCTATCTCCTCCTCATGCCCGTTCTGACCTGGGAGCCAGCTGTGGGTGCTGGTCCTGACCTGTCTCTAGCCAGCCGTGTGACCTTTCAGTGTCTGAGCCTCGGTCACCCCGACTTCAACACACGGGCCACACCCTGCCTACAGAACTTCACCCTTGGGGGCACAGGGGAGCACAGCAGGAGGAAATGACAGCATCAAAGTGCTTCCAAAGCAGCCAGTCAGGCTGAGACGGGGGAGACCTGGCTGCCCTCACTGCCCACACGGCTCCGGATGACAGGACAAGCGTTTACTGTCCCTTGCTCCTGTGGTTCTTGGGAACTTGGGGGGACATAGAGAGGGGGCCCTGCAGTGCCTGGCTTTTCTTTGTCTCATTGCAGTAGGAACTGGCTTCTTTAAGGGATGTGGGGAAGTCCCCTGGCCTGGGGTGCCCAGTTTTCTGTAGAGGAATCCCTAATATGTGCTGACCCCGGATGTGAAAGCAGAGAAGTAGAAACGAAACTAACACTGGGAATAGCATCTTCCAGCAAAAACTTTGATCTTTTTCTTCTATAAACTCGCCTTTTCTGCTGCTGGAATTCATGAGGCAACAAACTGTGGAGACAGAAAAGGGAGAAGATGGCGCAGTCAAGGCCTGAAGGCCCAAGGGAAGAGAGGCGGGCTGGGGGAGGCAGTGAGGGGACAGCTCACTGAGGAGGAGGTGGGTGTCTGGGAGGGCGGTAAGGGAGGGTGTGGAGGGGGATGGGCAGACAGGCATCATCCCAGGCACATGACCCTGATGTGTTCTGCCCCACGCCCGGGGGGCGCTGGAGAGCCCTACCACACCCCCCCTCACCTCTGCCTGAACCCTCATCCAGCAGGACCGGGCCTCTGACCTGGCTTTTCCTCCAAGCAAGGCAGGAAGGACTGTGGTGGGGGCAGGGATGTTGGTCCAAGGCCCACCTGGGCCACTAGCTGGTGCTCTGAGGGACCCCCTGGCTGTGAGGAGCTGCTCACGCAGGCACCCCCAGTCTCAGACCCAGCTCGCAGTGCCTAGGCTGGGGCTGGAGCAGGGAGCTGGAGCTTGCCACCCTTGGCCCGGACACTGACCCAGCCTTGCTCTTTCCTCTCCGCCGCAGCTCAGAGGGGGCACCATTCTCAGTGGGCGCCAGGCCCTTGTCAGGCAGCAGCTTCCCGGGCGGGTTGGGCGGGACCCGGATGCGCAGGCGGAAGATGCACTTCTTCTTCTTGATCTCCTTGCCACAGAGGAACCTGGGGGTGGGCAGGGAGAGGAGAAAGCTCTGAAGTCTGTTGGTCCACCCTCCTGGGGAGGAGAGTCAAGCATCAAAAGGACAGGCTTTGCCCTGTGGTCCAAGCTAAACCCCAGAATGGCCCGTGGGTCAGGGCTCCTGGGTGCTGGTAAGAACGAGGCTGGAGGCTCCTTCCTGCCGTGTCTGAGTGGTTCTGGCGGCTCTCCCTTCTCTGCCTTAACCAACCAACCCCAAGGCTGCATCCTACAAGGCCTCCACCTTCCAGCGGAGCTGCTCTTGTCCAGTGTGCTCCACACCACTCTGTTCTCTGCTCTCCAGGGAGACTCACAGGAGCTCCAGGCACTTCCCTCAGCTTCCAACATGACTAAGCTGCCGTGTGGGGGTGTCTCACACACAGCCCCTCCTGGGAGTGTCCCCAGAGGGCGGGAGGTCTTGGCACTCAAGGGCGGACTGTGCTTGGGCCCTCCATCATGACAGGGACGGTAACTCCGCGCGGCGCTGCAGGGAGAGGGTCTGAAGCACGCCCCGTGTCTCCCTCCGTCTGCAGTATCACTGCAGGCTGGCAGCAGCAGTTTGACAGGTTAAGTGTGGACGGAACGAGTGAACCAAACAGACTGAGGCATGTTCTAGGCTGAGGAAGAACATGGACAGCCCTGAGTGGGCGAGTGCAGGGCCAGCATGGCGACACCAGGAGAAGCGAGCACAGGGTGGAGGCGGGCGGGGGCAGGGCCCGATCACAAGAGGCCTGGAGTGCCGCTAAGGGCCCAGGGGGCAGCAGTGGGGGCTGTGCCAGCTGTGTGCCCAGAAGAACGCAAATCAAATCAGGATGGTAAGGCATGGCTGGGGATGGCTTAGGAGGGCACAGCACCCCAAGGGAAAACCGACCTGAGATCCTGGCCCACGGCCATGCCAACCAGAGCGGGGAGTGGGGCTCCCCAGTCAATGGGCTGGAGGGGAGGTGTGGTCACAAGGAGGTGGGTGCTTCCTGGGTCTTCAAGGACCGAGGGGGGGCGGAGACTAATGTGGTCACAGAGGTGATGGGGGACAGCTTGAGCAAAGGCTGTAAGGTAGGAAGAATCTGGGATTGGAGCCCCACGTCCCGGGCCCCACAGCACTCCCTTGCTTGCACGCACCGGCTTTTGTAGCTGTTCAGAGCGTTGAGGAGATGGGGTCCGCGGTCTGTCACAGGGGTGCTGGTGAGCTAAAGAGAGCAGAAGCGCGGTCACACCTGGGCCCCAGGTATCTGAGGAAGCCTCAGTCATGCCCCTCCTCCCCTCCATCTCCTGGTGCTGCTGGCTCTCCAGGTGAGGCCCTCCAGGTGAGGCCCTCCAGTGTAGCCCAGATCTCAGCTCACTTCCTACTGGTAAGTGGGGAGGGTGATCTCTGTCCTGAACTTAGCAAGAGCTTTAAACATGTCCAGGACCATGACCCAGTAACACTATCCCATGAGATCAATCCCATAGGTGAACCACAGAACACGAGCTCTACATAAACAGCGTTCATTGCAGCTTTGTTCTGATGACGGGCAAACGGGTAAGAGCCTGCGTGCACTTGCAACCAGAAGAAAACACAGCCACCACAGAAAAGCTCCAAGTACATTTTAACACAGAATGAAAGTGTGAAGTGGGAAAAAGGGCCGGTTTAACACGCACACGGTAAAATCTAATCCACGTAAAAAGAACTTCATAGGAGACGGACAATGGAGGGAAGTGCACCCAAGCGTTACCTGTAGTTGTTTCTGGGTGCTGTGGTGTGGGAGCAGGGGTGATTTTTTTAAAAAGTGCCCTTCCTTACACCTTTTGGGATTTACATTTTTTTCTACCAGAAACCTGTGAGGCTTTTTCATATGTATAAATGCCAGTTCTCTCTACCCTCTAAGGAGTAATCATATGCATGTCCTTTATAAATGATCCAATACTGCGAATGAAGCTGCAATTACATGATAATTTAGAGGTTGCCAGTTTGTGAAAAGCCCTTCTCATGGACAAAGGGTTTGGGCAGTGGGTCGAGAAGATGCCCGGCTCTGGATGTGGTGGAGACGGTTCTACCTCTTTAGGGGAAGGTGGTTCTGGAAGCATTTGGGAGGCCCCAGCTCCAGTCCCTGCTCAGCTCCAAAGCTCTGCTACCACCTGCCAGTCATTCTCCTCCTGTGACATCTGGAGTCTGCTTTGCTCCCGCTCCACTCCTGAGGTGGCAGGCTCCCAGGCCTCCGGTGACCCAGTGCTGCTATTTCAGAGTACAGCCAGCAGAGGGCAGACCCGCTTCGCCTTCCATCCCAGTCAGGCGTCAGGAGCCGGACAATCTAGGGGGGCTGCAGCTCCCCAGGTGAGTGGGTGGCGGTAACCCACCCACTGCCAAAACCTGGCTCAGGAAGTTTCAGCTCAGGCAAGCAGCAGTCAAAGGCTCTGGGTCTCTGTTGCAGCCAGCAACCCTCGCAGAGGGGCAGCACTGCCCGAGAGGGAGCACCGCGACCCAGGCGCTAGTTCTGCGCCGTGCGCCATTCTGCTGGCCCACAGTCCTGCGTACCTTGCCGAGCTGCAGGAGCTCCCAGTGGTGGTTGACAAAGGCCAGAATCTCCTCAAAGTCAAAGTACTTCTTCTTGCTCTGCACCCCCAGGTTGTAGAGGGCCAGGTGAACCACATCCACCCTGGGCAAGGGGGCAAGGAGGTGGGGTAGGGTGAGGTAGCAGCCTCCTGGGTGTAGGCTGAGGGGCAGGGGCAAGGCTGGGGCCTGGTGGCTGAGATGGCATTGCTCCCAGAGGGAAGGGCGGAGAAGGGGCCGGTGGGCCCTGGCCAAGCCCCCTCTCACCATCGCAGGGGCAGCCTCTCGATGTACTCTGGGCCCTGGTTACACACGGAGCAGAAGAACAGGTAGAACCTGTGGGTGGGTGGAGAGGGGGCCTGTGGTTGGGGGGTTCTGACACCCCATCTCACATGGGTCTCCTCCCCACAACCCCCACCTGCCATCCCAAAGTCAGTGTGGTCCTCCTAGGGCTGGGAGGCTTGGCCATCAGCCGCACTGGTCATCCGTCTCCCAGTGACTCTCTAGCCCCGAGAGGAGTGGGGCAGGGCCTGGGTCCCTCCCCCTTCCCCAGACACCTCCAAGAAACTGGGGCTTAGGGGAGGCAGGAATTTGTCTAAGGCCCCCCACAAGTCAATGGCAACTGGCATGCGGCTCAGCATGTGCTCTACTGAGGAGACCTCCCCCCACTTCCCCCTTGGTGGTCCTCACTCTCATAGGCCCCTGCTTGTCTAGAGCCTGGAGACCTGCTGCTGCTGCTGTCCCCTGACATCCCCCCCAACACACCCCCAAGGCTGAGCCAGACCAGATCAGCACCTACCGGTCTCCAAACATCATGGGCTCGTTGAGGCACTGGGTGCAGGCCTCGTGGAACCACTGTCTACACCGGTAGCACTGCAGCATCCGCAGGTACCACCTGGAGAGCCAGAGGAGCCAGGGTCACCCCACCCCCACCCCAGCCAGGCGTCAGCCCAGCAACCAAGCCAGCCCCCCCCTGGGGACCGGAGGACTGGGACGCAGGGGAGGTCCTGGAGCAGGGTGTGAGAGAGCCTCTGTGGTCAGTCACTGGCCCCACCTTGCAGATGCGCCAGAGATGAAGAGCTTGCTCACAGGCACCGGGAAGCAGTGGTAGAAAGTGCTTCAGGTCCTGATCCCTTGCGCCAGCCACACTGGAGCCATCTCTGACCTGAGCGCCTGCACTGCTTCCCAAATAACACTGCCAGCGCACTGCCTGGGGACCTCCCAGCAGAATAAGGGTTCCCCTAAGTCTGACCACAGGGCTGCAAAGTGTCGTGTCTCGCCTGGTACTGAAGCTACCCTGTCACGGCCTTTCCACAACTGCTCACGGACTAGTAATGAAGAATAAGTATTTTCTTTACAGTGGACTCAGTTCATACCTGGCCAGGGGTGGCGGTATGTGGCCACCTGCATCAGAATCATCTAGATCTAGGTTAAATGCAGATTCCTCGGCCTGCTCCAGACCTACCCGGCTTGGGGGTCCCGAGAGGTACATTTTCACAAAGTGCTTACTGTGCGATTCTGCTGGGTTAGGCCTGAGACCCTCGCCTGAGTGCTGAGCCCTCTAGCAACGTGTCTGTCATCCCTCAGGCCTCCCCACACCAGGGCAGCGGATGCCCCCGCCCCAGGGCTTCCTCTCATCTGAGACCTGAGGAGGTTCTAGGGATTTGCCCAAGTTGCCCAGTCAGGCTGAAAGCGCAGCCTCTGGACCCCAAGCTGAGATGCAGAGACAGCCCGAGTTTCCTGTGGTCAGAGTCCCATCTCACTTCCGCTACCCCCCACCTGTGGCGCTCAGCCTCCCTCGTGGCTACAGGGAGGCCAAGCCGACAGGGAAGGGGAAGGGGAGCGAGGACCCCCTGGAGCCAGAGCAAGCCTCCTGCAAAGCAGCCCCAGCCACAACCCAGCCCCTGCAGGCACAGCGCAAAGGCTCTTATCTCACGGAGGTGAGAGGCTCAGCTTCACGACCTCAGGTGGTTGCTATGTCCCAGACATCTGTTTAGTGCTCGGGTGCCAAGTACTGAGAGCCTTTCTGGAATTCTCTAACTCAGCTCCCACCGCACAGAGGGAGAATGATGGTCACTGAAGTTGGGGTCTGCAGCGGGAAGGGGCAGGGAGGACGTGGATGTCTGACTAGACTCTGAACCACTCCTCTGTACTTCCTCCTTTCCCACAGGCCCCCAAGAAAACATGCTGACCCTTGGCTCTCCACGGCTCTGCCCTCCAGGCCCACGCCCACTATTTTGATGTTCAGGGTCTTAGCCAGGGTCCCTCCACAGGGCCCCGCCCCTCAGGCCACGTTCCCAGGGCTCAGTCTCCCATCCAGCACCTGCCGGTCCAGCGCCTGCCTGGCGGCACCCGCCTCCACCCAGGGCGGCCCCGCCCACGGCCTTACTCTCCGGGGCCTCCGCAGTAGCAGTAGCACTGCTGCTGGTTGGTGCGGTGGGGCGAGTCCCACTCGAGCTCCTCGGGCTGGTAGGACAGCACCATCTTCACGGCCTGCAGGGTCCTGGCGATGGCGCCCTTCTTCAGCGCGCCACCTTTCTATGGGGAGATGAGGGCCAGTCACTCACAGGGTATCAGCACTGGGCTCTCAAGGGGACCCCCAGCTATCCCAGGGTCAGAGACGCAAGGGGGCTTTTCCCATCTGCTCGCTGTCCCTGAACAATCTCCATCAATATTGGTGTTCACAGTAACAGAGAACAATAACGACCAGTGTGGGCACGCAGGTGGATTTTCTCCTTTAAGTGCAAGGCACCATTTATGGGCCCCCACCCCCGACAGCACACCCGTACCACTATTTAAAGGCACCATTTGGGGGGCCTCCCGCTCCGGACAGCACACCCGTACCATTTTACAGTTGAGCAAACTGGCTCAGAGAGGCTTAAGAACCTGCCCAGGACACGCAGCTGGCAAGCGGCCATGGTGCTGTCTGCCTCCGAGGCTGGGCTCTCTGGCGGGGTGTCCGGTCTGAGCCAGGCTCTGGGGTCCTGACTGCAGCACGGAGGAAAGGCCGGGGCTGAGGACGGAGGGCTCACCCGCACAGCCAGCGCGAAGATGCAGCGTCGGCAGAACCAAGGTGTGAGCCGGGGCCTGTCGGCGCTGCCCGCCATGGGGATGTGGCACTGCTGGTGGTAACCTGCGGCAGAGGGGGGCTGAGTACCCACAGGGAAGAGGCCGCACGGCGGTTAGCCCAGAGGGGTGGCAGGGCTGGGACGGCTGCGGCAAGTCTAGGAGCTGTGAGCCTTGCCAGCCCCCTGAAGACGGCACTGGCCCTGGCTGGAGGCCCCGAGGTCTGACTGGTCCCTGTGCCCACCTCTCCCCCCCATCCCCTCGGCCCGTGGGCTCCGACCTGCACTGCGTGCCTTACCTACTTCCCAGAAGCCATAGCTCGCCCCAGGGTGTCCTCCCTAGCCCTCATTCCTAGACACCGGCCCCAGTCCCTCTGGAGCTCCAGGAGAAACAGGAGCCAGCGGGAGCCCAAACAGTCTGTGGTGGTGCCCATCACGGGCCGGTGGGGGCATGAGGGCCGCGGGCGGGGCCTGCTCAGCACCCTGCCCACCGACTCACCCAGGCCACACTTCCCGCAGATGAGGATCTCGTTCAAGGGCCCCGAGGTCTTTCCCAGGCAGATGTTGCACTTGGGCTCCTCCCCTGGGACACCAGCTGAAAGAGAGCCAGTGGGGGGCTGCAGGAGCTGCAGTGTGCTGAAGCCACGCTCCAGGGGCCACGCCTCGGGGCTGTGCTAGCACGGACCCACAGCCAAGCCCGTCTCCACAGACACTCACAGTACCTTTTCTCACCAAAGTTGGGGTGGTGGCTGCTCCCCCACATCCATCGTTTGCTCAGCTAGTGAGCAGAGGGGACTTCAACCCAGGGCCGCTTGACAGCAAAACCCTTCTGTTAGCATGTTGCCTTTCCTGCCTAATGTAGCTTGATTTGTTGAACGGTATTTTTTATTAAATAATTTAAAATATTTATTATGGGCTAGACTGTAACAAACACCACATTCTCTTCAATAATTATAAACTCGTGATTCTGGGCTGTTCTGAATCAAGTTCCAGACATACAACATAATTACAGGGGCCTTCCTGGTGGCGCAGGGGTTCGAAGTCTCAGTGCTATCAAGCTATCGCCAGTCACTGAAGCAAGAGTTCGATCCCTGGCCAGGGAGCTGACCCACATGGCGCAGCAGACGGCTCCTGTCTCCCTGCTGCTCCCCTCAGCAGTGTATTTCAGGAGACCTGCCTGCTGTGCTCCCCACTCTGTCTCTGGTAAATCCTCTCACCCCCTGCATCTCTTTCCTGTACACCAGTTCTTGTATGCATAAATAATAAAACCTTCAAAAAATAAAAATGAAAACAACATAACTATGGTGACACTCTACCCCTAAAAATTGCAAATAATTTCTTAGTATCAAGATATTCAGTTAGTGTTTACATTTCCAATTGTGTCAAATAAAAATGTCACAACAATGTAACTTTGTTCAATTGCTTTTAACCTATGAGCTTCCTCTCCTTTCTTATTTGTACTTTTTAAAGAATAAATATGTGGACTGAACATGTGAAAAGTGAGTGCACATAAATTAAATACACTGTGAGGTGTGTATGCTTCTGCCTGCTCTTGCCTCACTCCCCAACCTCCTGAAAGTACTGTTAGGGGAGAAATGCTACGTGCCCAGCAGTGTGTCCCCAGGACCTCAGTGTGTATGGCAGCTAACACACATTCAATACATGCTTATTGGGGGTCATTCTTGCTCCAATTACTGACATGCCTCCCGGAGCTCCCATGGGTCTCGGTCAGTCCTCACTGGCCTCCTAAAGTGATGCATCCAGAACTACAGGGAACTCAGTCATATGCTGTCAGAGGGGGAGACACCCAGGGAATCCCCTCTGCCCTGGAGGAGCACTCATCTGGCTGGGGAGCCAGACCCGTGCAGGGGAGCCCAGGAGAGCACTGGGGTGTGGCCTGGCGCACAGCCAGCCTTCTCCAGGATGGCTGAGAGGAGCAGTCCTTCCTCACCAGCTGGCTCCTAGTGCTGGAGGAACCCAAGAGAGAAGCTTCTGGCTGCTTCAGACCTTTCCCCAACAAGGGCGAGGAGGGGCTTGGGGCAGGATCAGTCTGTACAGGCAGCTATGGTGGAGGCAAGGGAAGGTGCCCTGGGTTCTGGGGTGTCTACGTTCCTTAAAAATCATCCCTAATGGGGGCCCTCCCTGGTGGCGCAGCGGGTTAAAGCACTGCACTGAGAATCTAAAGCCGCTTCCGCATGAGTTCGATTCCCGCCTGCCCCGGAGGTGACCACATGGCGTGGCAGACCTCTCCTGACCCGCCCGCTGCTCCCCTCAGCAGTGTACTTCGTCGATATGCCTGTTCTGTTCCCCACTCTGTCTCTGGTGAAGCCTCTCACCGCCCCTGAGCCTCTGGCCTGTACCCCAGTTCTGTATGCACAAATAAATAAATCTAAAAAAAAAAAAAATCATCCCTAATGGTAACGGTCCCCAGAAACTGCCTTCTTGTACCTCAACAGCACAAGTAGTAATCTGACCTTCATCTTGGGATGGATTGGGGGGGTGGGGAGTGGCGTCTGTGGACAAGGCCTAACGCCTGGAATACTCACCATGCTGAATGTCCTTCCACAGGACCCAGTATTTGGAATTATCTTCAAACGTCACAAGGCAGCTCTGCTTAGAGCTGCTGACCTGGGGCAAGACAGGGAGGGGCAAGTTGAGAAAGTGGCTGGGCAAAGCCTGCTGGACACAGGCTTCTCGTGTTTGTCCGAGGAGAGCTGAAGGATCAGACCCCCTTGTGTTCCAGGAAGCAGAGCTAGATCAGCAAGGGAAGCAGTTTCTGGAGGTAGTGCATTTCCAGACACTGAGGTTGTACAGTCAGGGCCCGAGACAGCACCTTGGTGGGAGCGAAGGACAGAACCAGGAAGACGGTGTGTGTTGGTCTCCAACCTGGTTGTGTCTGGAGGCTCAGAGGGCACCTCTCTAAAGAAATGGTTGGGTAACAGTGGCCCTAGGGATGGCACCCACAAAGGCAGGCCTGGCTTTCCGAAACATTTCCAGTTTTTAAACATGAGGGACAAGAAGGGAATGTCCCAGCCATCCCCATCCTCTGCCACTGGTCAGAAGAGGAGTAGAGAGCTACTGAATCTGGGAACAGAGAAGAAAGTTTTACCCTCTTGATCTTCCCGAGGTAGTACAGTCCATCTGTCCACCGGCACAGCACATACTGGCCCTCTGTCAGCTTGGACATCAGGTCTTTGAAGTTGTTTTTGGCTTTTGCCAGAGCCCCCTTGTTGGGGAGGTGGCTGGTGGCGCCATAGGAGTCCCGAGTCCCTGGGTCCAGAGCCCGGGTCTCCATCAGCTTCCAGGGCCGCTGGAAGAGAAAGGCAACAGGGTTTTACTTCCAGCTTCCCTGATCCCCAAGTCCATCAGGAGACCACCATGTCTGTACCTGTGCCTTATGCCAGGCCCTTTATCATCTCACTGAATCCTCATGATAGCCATGCGATGGAGACACTATTCCCACTCCTCAGGTAGGGAAGCTGAGGTTTGGCAAGGGGAAGCAGCGGCTCAGAAGTCCTACTCTCTCCTGCTACTGACCACAGAGCAAGTTCCTGCCCAGGGGGCCTGACCCCCGCCTGACTTGGAAGTGGAGGTTTCTCCCCTCAGCAAATGTACTCTGTGTTCTCTGAGGGCCTCCTCCAGGGTGCACCCTCACCCCTATCACGAGACCTGCCCAGAAAAAGCACCTTGAAAGGAAAACTCTTGGGTGGCTTGTGACCTGGTGGGCTTGGCCACCTGTGTCCTCTGTAATCCCCTTTTCTGTTCTCAATTATGGGATGACTTAATGGAAACCAATTCTGGGACATTTAAACTCGCTTATGCTTTTACTCAGATGCAAATTTGCACCAAGAATTAAGTCACTCTTATGGCAATCTCTCCACACCTATCTCTCACCATCCTCCACCGCTTTCTCTCTTCTGCTAATGGTATGACTATGGGCCCCAAGCCACAGAAACTTCAACCAGTGAGTTGCCACAGGTGGCCAGCTTCAAGCACAAGGATTTCTGGCATCTGGCTTTGCTGGTTCCATGCCCTACACCCCACTTCAGCCCCCCTGGTCTGAGTTTAGGCCTCACATTTTGCATGCATGCATGCGTTCATTCATTCATTCAATAACTGCTCCCTGAGCCTAGCACCCAGGATGTATTCACCTATGCAAGGTGCCCGGGACAGGGAATGGGGACCAGCCCCTGAGGCTAAGCAGGCTACGCCCCTGCTCTCCTGCCTTCCCACCAAATTCTTCCATAGGACCACCAAATCCCTTCTTGCTGCTCCCAAACACCTCCTGTGGCTCCCAGGGCCTTCACTGGCATACAAGGGCTTAACTGGCACCGTACCCCTCCACATGGCTATCTAAACACTATTCCCTGCACCCTATAATCTGGTCCCCTTCCTCTCTGCCTCTTTGGACACCAGGTGTTATGTGTAGGCAGGAAAAGGGTCCGAGATTTTCCCAGGTAAGAGTGCATTTGTATTCCGGGTTGATTGTGTCTGGTGATGTCTTACAGCAGAGTCTCACTGAGTAAGTGAAATTCATGTGTGTGCATGTCAGGGACCCTGGGGCAGGGCAGTGTTGGGGTCTTGGTCCACCAGATGGCATCACGGCCACATCCCTCCTCCACTTTCAATCCCTGGTCCCTCTTTTCTGGATGGTCGAGTACCCAGAACTGGGTAAGCTTTGCAGTCTGAATGCCTGCCTTCACCCCTGCCATCACCCGGCCACCTGGCTCCGTGGGCGCTCAGGCGCTGCCAGGTCTCTGCAGAGCCCAACTGGAGCTCGGCTGCGGCAGGTTCACTGACACTTCCTCCCCCGCTGCGCGCCTGGGAGAGGGCCCGGTTGTCGCGCCCCTCCCTGGCCAGGCTGGGGCCGCCGGGTGGCGGTCCCCCCACACGCGTCTCCATCCTCCCGGAGCGGGCCCCCGCCGGCTGTGATTGGCTGATTCAAACCCATCTGCACAGAAATGCCTGTTTGCGGGTTCCGTCGGCGTCCAGTTCAAATCAGCGGCACCCCGAGCGCGGAGCCGGGCGGGGGCAGGAAGCTAGGATGATTCATGCGCCGCGGCCTCTCCCAGGGCGGCCGTTGGCTTTTTAAAAAGGGTGTTCGAGAGGGAGGAAAAAAAAAAAGCCTTTGAGAAGCACCCCCTTCGGGTTCAAGCGCTCCGCTCTCCAGTCGCTCCGACGCCAAACCCCCCCACCCCTTCCAATCCTGCCGCAGCCCGACTTCGGACGTGAGCAAAATCCTAAACATCGCATCGGTCTCCACCACCATCCCCCCCACCCCCAACCCCGCATAGGAAAAGTAATGATTTGGGGCAAGGGAACAGAGACTGTCACCCACGTCCCCCAATGGCTGGGGGACCCGAACGCGGCTCCCGTCGCTCCGGAGACCCCATTCACTCCCGCCTCCATCCCCCAAGTGCGCGGCTCCAGGGACTCCAACACCCTCTTCGGAAACGTTCCAACCATCCCGAAAGTTCAGGGAGTTTTCGAAAGAGAAGGGGTGAGGCGGGGAGTCCCCCCAGCGGCCGCCTGCCGGCCGCGCCCAACTCACCGCGAGGCTGCGTGTCCACCGGTCCCCCTTGGAGTCTGGCCGCCAGGCGCATCGGCGGCTGCGCCCGGCCCGCGGCTGCCC